AGATGGCTGGGTGGGTGGATGGTGCACCAGGAGTAGATGGCTGGGTGAGTTGTACACCAGGAGTAGATGACTAGACGGATGGTAGACCAGGAGTAAATATTACAATTATTGCAAGGTTGAGGAACATAATCAGCATTGCAATGTAAAAGATATTGTCTGTATTCTTTACCCAAACTGGCTTATGGATCCTAGTGCAATTGAATTACATGTAAAGGCAGTTACTTGCTGAGACAGGCTCTGACTACCTTGCTAGCCTGTATTGGATACAGTTATCCAGAAAATGGAGGGATGGATAATGCAACATAAACAAAAAGTCTAATAACTTAAATACAGCATAAATACTGCTCAAACATAATACAGAGGAGGAGAAAGGCAGATCTAGATATGCAACATAGTAGATAAGGAGAAATGATTACAGTTCAGCCCACTTGAACAGTAAGGCGTCTTGGAACACAGAGGTTGACAGCAGGTGCTTGCAGTGGGATCGTGTGCATGAGATAGGGTCATGTGCTTGTTAAGATAATAGAGGAGCAGTTGTTGAAAAACAAAACAGGTCAGAGAGATGGGAGAATGGAGCATCGTTTTATATGTTAACATTTTATAAAGAACAGCTGGTTGGAAAGGATCCATAATCACCCCTTTCTCTGCTCTTTCTGTCCTGGTCTAACCAGCCTCTGCGCGGTCATTCAGGGATCGGCCCATGTCCTCATTAGGCCGCCTGTCCCAGACCACCATTGTCCAGCACCCAACGCAGTCCACCAGTGAGAGGCAGGGGACCTTGGAGATCCGTATGGACCTCAACCAATCAGCAGAGGAGGAGCCATTGACAACAGTGTGATTGATAGAAGTGAGGAGCCCCACTACACAGCAAAGTTTTTTTTAACCTTTAAAATAAATATGTTGGCATGACAGTACGATGGATCTAATTTGTGGACTATTAGTGATTGTAAAAGGCATTACAGCAGGTTTTCTAATGTTGATGCCTATGTCACACTTCCATGGACTAGTAACAATAAGACCTTAATTCATATTGATATCCACTTTAAGAACTCAAATGATGTCATGTATTAGTGACATCGCAATACAAAAGCCAATTTTAAAAAATCTGTAACTTAGTGCTGTAGTTGCTATTCATCATGTGTTGACTGATAAGGTATTGGCCTGACTTGCAGTGACTCTCCCGGTAAAATAAGTAACAGCAATCAGTTGTTTTGCTGTTCTTACCTCTTGTTAGGATCAACAGCTGATCTGTGTTATTTACTTAATCTGGGAGATCCTGTGCAAACAAGGAAAACATTATTAGTAGGAATAATCAATAGGAGCAAAAAACTTCACAGGATTGAAAAGGAGGAAATGCAGAATGTTTTTGTTTTGCTCATTTTACGGGACACTACTGTGTGCTCATGCTTTCTTCCAGTTATTCAGGAACAGTATAATTTTTATAAAAACCTAAATCCCTCTGCTAAGAGCTTTACCGGGATCATGGCCAGTGGGCAGCTTAAGGTTAAACTGTGGTTCCCTGTTACACACAACAAGAATAGGAGAATAATAAGCAATCATTGCTTCCACTGTACACACAAGCACACTCACAGCTGTGTAAATACACAGAGTGATGGCCAGAGCAGGTATTTTATAACTGGGCCAGGGAACCCCCATATTACTCATCTTGTTGAGTCACTTGTACTGTGGTGTTCAGAAAAAGGGTACCAGTAACCGGAGTGTTTATGTTTGGGCAGTGACTGCTGTTTTCATGAAAACAAACGCAGTTGAAAAAGAGAGTGGGATTGCTCATTTGTGAAGTACAAGCTGGTGTGACCTCTAGACATAAAAAAGAAAGACTCGCACCCACACGTACTGCCCTCAAGACTCAAGTTGTGAATTCAGCCCCACATAGCTCTCTCGATTTGACCACGTCACTGTGCACTTAACAAATTGTTGTAAAACTGCGTGCTTTAGATTAAAACTAGATGAATAGTGCTTGTGTTTCTAATATAACTTATAGTTTTCTTATTTTTACATTTCAAAATGCTATTTGAGATGGCGTGTTGTGTAATACACGCACTGTGCCAAGTTTTCAGAGCACAGTGACCAGTGTGATTAATATGAACAGGAAAATTGCAGTGTATTGTAATTGAATGTCACACTATGTACAAAAACATTGCTGTGTGTGTGATTAAACAACCAGATCTTACTCACGCAGTTGCATCTAAATGCACTCATATGTAATAATGGTTTTTTGCTTTTTTGAAATCTGGAAACACTGAACCACTTTTCTTGTTATATTTTACGTATTTTGTCCTCACCTGTTGTAAATCCGCTTTAAGTTGAAGTCCTTCCATGATTTCCCCCCTTGTAGCTCACTGTCCTATCCAGTCCCCCCTATGAAACTTCACAGGATAACAGGTTTGTCCCTTTTCCACCAGCAGGACAGGCTGGTTGCTTTAGATCAAGGTTTATTGTGTAAAACAAGTAATGATTACTTATGTATTAAGACAATAGTGTATTTGTATAAGTGTTTAAGCACTTTAAAAACACAAAACTGTCAAATTCCAAAAATGATCCCCGACACATTCAATTGGACACACAAAAATAATGAAATTGTCTTTTTGGATCACTGGATCTGTACTATTGGTCATCATACCCTATTTACTATGTACAATTGGGCACTATCATGCCCGCCATAATAGGAAAGGGTAAGCTACCTTATAGTGCTTGTTTGTGCTCTAGTTTGTGCTTGTGTGTTGCATACTGTACATACAGTACTCTCATTATTTTAGAGCTGCATTTTTTAACTATTTTAATGGATACACCACCTTTCCACCTGAGATTATTGAAGAAGGGTCAGCCATAGTTTTCTCATGGTTGTTTCTGAGTATTATCTAGTGTAGTAATTTTAAACACAGACAAGGCAAACCATCAACAGTTTTAAAAAAAGTACCAGTTTAATGCAAAAATACATGTTCTGTAATATATATTATATACAATATATAATATTGTGTACACACAAAAGTGTATGGCCTCAATTACATTGAATTATATAATATCACAGCAGCACAGTGACACAGTGGTTAGGATTGCCTCACAGTGCTACGGCCCTGAGATCAAATCCAGACCTGCAGAAATTGCTGTACTGTCTGCATGGAGTTTGTATGTTCTCTCTATGTTTGCGGGGGTTTCCTCCCACAGTCCAAAAAGATACATTTTAGGTGAATTGGCTTCTGGAAGAACTGGTCCTGGTGTGAGTGTGTCTGTCCAGCTCTGTCCAACTTTGTATGAAGTGGTTGAGAAATGGATGGATGAATGTATAATACACTGTATTTTAGGGATTAAAGAGGTTTCAAAGAAACTGGTTTCAAAATACACCTCCCAAAAATGCTTAGTTGACTTATTGCATATGACAAAAAAAAGCAAAATCAGAGAAAAGCATTGAGTTGACCTTGTTCGTTGGATTGCCAAGTAGCTTCTTGATCTAAAAGTCTTTTCAACCCTGGAAGAAACCCTGGTTTCTCTGGAAGAGTATCTAGACATCAGCTTCTGTGTCTATGGCTGAACGTTTGTGTTATACGCCCACAACTACTGTATCTGTGCAAGGGAGTGCCTCCTGTTTCTGAGGCCTATACATAATGCCTACACTTGTCCTTGTTCCATTTATGAGCTTTTGAGGTAGACTGTGCATCAGACCTTGTCACAGCTTTTGTAGGAATTTGTATGTTTAATTAAATCCCAAGGTTTTTTTTTCCAACATCTGTGAGCTTTCACAAAATCCCTGGAATCACTTGAAGCAACAGGGCACAGTGCTACAGTGTGGGGCAGAAAAGGTCAGGAATAGAGGAAACTCTCTGACCATTAGTGTTCTGGGATAAAGGCTGTCTTCTGAATTGTCTGATTCATCAAAGGGCTGATTGGTACTGTATGTGACATTCTTTGTATAAGCACTGCAGTAAAGCTGTAAAGTTGCTGTTCAGTTTTAGACCTGTTACCTTGGTAAGAAACCTGCTGCTGTCAGGTCAATATTCCGCCTACTCTCCTAAGTGGGATAAAGCCAGGTACTTTCAGTTGAAAGTATTCAGTAGCATATGAAGCTTGGCAGAAAAAAAACGTAACAACATTCCACAACCGGCTGGGTTTCATTGAGGGCTCTTGCTTTTCCTTTAATTTTCAAATGTGATCTCTTTGTCCACATTCCACTGTGCAATTTTCTGCTTTTCAGAATAAGAAATGTTCCACCATTATCAACCATCGCAGGCTGATGTTTAAGGCCTTTGTTATTATTTTTGGTAGAAACCCAGAATTCAAAACCTTTTTATGCTGCACAACAACCACTTTAAAAAAAGTCAAATATATGTTCATTTGCAAGAAAAAGTGACATTTTGGAATGTTGATATTGTGCTTAGCAATATATAGTATATTTTTTAATTCAGTGGAATGTTTCAAATGAAAACAAACATAATGTCTGGGGCTGTCCTTTGTTTAATGCACTGTGGTAATAAAAAATAATTTAAAGCATTTTATAACTGGTACTGCTTTTTTCTAATTATTATTTCTTATAACTGGAGTGGCAGATGGCGCACTGGTTGGCATTGCTGCCTGGGTTCACTTCTGTTGTCTGCAAGGAGTTTGTATGTTCTCCCTGTGTTTGTGTGGGTTTTCTCTCACAGTCCAAAGATGTACTGGTGGGGTAACTGGCTTCTGGAAAAAGTTGTCCTGGTGGGAGTGTATCCGTGTCTGTGTCTGTATAAGGTCTTGTTCCTGGAACGTAAGGTCTGTAAGGTCTTTTTCCTGGAAGTCCATCGCAGGGCAGACAGACAAAAACACAGACAGGCACACACTCACAGCAGGGTGAATTTTCCCAGAGACCAATTCCCCTGCCAGCGGGTTTTTGGACTGTGGGAGGAAACCAGAGCACCCAGAGGAAACCCAAACAAACATGGAGTTAATATACAAACGCCACGCACTATTTTGAAAATGACTAAAAAAAGTTTTTGAAAATGCTTCACAATTACACATAACAAATCAATCAGGGGGTAACACTAGAGCAGTGTCACAGAACGAGTCAAATCTAAAACCGGTGTGATTCTAAATTCTCAGTCTGTTAATATGGGTAGTCTAGGTTGACTCTTCTTTTTCACACTGTGTGTGATAGCTCCTATTGTTATTATTATTAAAATATTGAGGTCTATATATGAGGCTTTCCCCTCTAAATTTCCTAATTTCTTTTGCAGGATCTGTAACCACCTCACACATTTTCTGGAGGCGTTTTGATTTGTTGCCAGCACTTCATTCTTTTATCGTGTTTTCCCTTGATGTTGTTTCTTAGATCTGGGTACAAGAGGAAAGCTGTTTAGTTTTGTTCCTCCAGATATGGGCTCAACTGTATTTAGTCAAATGGTTTAATGATGTATTCTCACCTATTGATCAAACTGCCATCAGTCAATCACACAGCCAACAATCACCTTCAATTCAGCTCAGACTTACCTGTTTAAACTGGTGGTATAGAAGGTTCTAATCACACAAACCTCTTCTTTGGTTCTCTTGCTTTACAGTACATCAGAGTACACAATGTAAACATCCATCCATTTTATAATCGCCTCTTGCAATTCAGGATCGCAGGAGAGCCGGAGCCAGTCCTGGCAAGCAGGCGCAAGGCAGGATCCACCCTGGAGGGCTCACACAAGCACAGGCGGGCACACACTCACACCAGGATCAGTTTTCCCAGAAGCCAATTAACCTACCACTGTCTTTTTGCACTGTTGGGGGAAACCTATATTCCACCTATAGGAAACCCCATTGAAGATGGGGAGAACATACAAACTCAATGCAGATAGCAAACCAGGTCTGGAATTGGGAGGCAGCAATGCTAACCACTGTCACTGTGCCATCGTGCAACTTTCAACTGCAACAGATTCACAATATTACTTTGA